CAAGTTATTTAAAAAGCCAACTCCTCCCTCACCCTAAATTAACTTGTCCCTAGCTGCAAGAACTCGACCCACATCCTCCAGCTCCTGCTCCATACTAGTCTCACCCTCATCTTGTGGTTATTGTTAGTTTTCCACAGGCAATGACAAACCTCGTGACTGATAGGAATTTGCCAACAGCTGTTCCATATAGGTGCAGATTTCCAAGGAGCTAACACTGTTCAGAAAGAAGAAAAAAAGACAAGGCTGTGGCGTTCTCTGCAAAGGAAACACAGTGTATCAGAACTAGTTTCTCCTGAACTGGGAATACACCTGCTTTTCTCAGGAACTCATTTTACTCATGGTGAGTCAGGTTGCTAATACTTGGTAGGCAGCCAGGTAAGAAAGATATCAAGGTGGAGTGACTGCGAGTAGTCAATGGAATTGTAATTAGGCTAAAACTTGGCATAAGCCTCCACCTGCACTTCAGTCTTACAAAACAAACCAAAAACCACTGAAAATACCCTTACTATGATCAGTAATTCTCTGTCCCGGTAGGAGCCCTCTGCTAGCTGAAAAGAACATGCTTGGAGGGTCCCAGCCTTCAGGAATGAAGTTCCTGTCTCGGGAGGGGAAGCTGCCATTGCAACCACAGACTAGTCCCCAGGAGGTGTGGCTCAGGTCAGAACGCCTCGCTGGCAGTCCTGAGAGCCAGCCCAAAGTCACAACTCAACACGCTCCAGGTAGATCACCATCTCAGCCAAGACACCTGTCATTTGAAACCTGCCTGTGTTTTATAGCTTGGCAGTAGCTCTGGATGGCAAAAGTGGAGGATGGAGCATGTACTTAGCTCCCACTGCAGTCATGCACCGTGCCTACTGCAGGACGGGGAGTGAGCTGGCCAGCTGCGCAGCCAGCCCGTGTTTATCACCAGTTCTGGGTTATGCAAAAACACAGGAATAGGGCTCTTCCTTCTCAAAGAGGTACAGTTTTATTTCACCAGAGAAATACTGAAAGGAGACAAGGGGAAGAATACCTACACACATAAAGCCATCCAACAGAAATGAGCAGACAGGAGGGCATAGCTGTGCAGAAGAAAAAAAGCCAGGGAAAGGCAGAATGAGGCTCGGGCTCAGCAGAGAAGTGCTGCAGCACACAGCTTTCCAAACCTGGCCTGAGCAGACCTCTCCTGGCTGATCCATCCAAGTGCAACCCTTCCAGGAGGATTTCACAAAGAGCACAAAGCAGAGGGCAGTGGCAGAAGGGGAAGAAAGCACCACTGGTGTCCCTGCCCCTCCCTTAACAGTAAATAGTGAGTAATCCATTCTGGGTAGCTGCAATAACTAACTGTGGGCTTTTACTTAAAATTGATTTTGCTTGGATTTAGGGAAGTAAGTCAGCTTACTCATGAGGCAGACAAAATCACAGAATGGTAGGGGTTGGAAGGGACTTCTGGAAATCATCTAGTCCTACCGCCCTGCTAAAGCAGGTTCACCTAGAGCAGGCTGCACAGGAATGGCTGTAAACCAAAAGAGGGCAGATTTAGATTAGATATTAGGAAGAAATTCTTCACCATGAGGGTGGTGAAACATTGGCACAGGTTGCCCAGAGAAGCTGTGGATGCCCCCTCCCTGGCAGTGTTCAAGGCCAGGTTGGATGGAGCTCTGAGCAACCTGATCTGGTGGAAGATGTCCCTGCTCATGGCAGGGGGGTTAGAACCAGATGATCTTTAAGGTCCCTACCAACCCTTACCATTCTATGATTCTATGACTGTGTCCAGGCAGGTTTTGAGTATGTCCAGAGAAAGAGACTCCACAACCCTTCTGGGCAGCCTGTTCCAGTGCTCTGCCACCCTCAAAGTAAAGTTCTTCCTCATGTTCAGCTGAAACTTGCTATGCTTCAGCTTGTGGCCATTGCCCCTTGTCCTGTCGCTGGGCACCACTGAAAAGAGCTTGGCCCCATCCTCCTGACACCCACCCTTCAGATATTTATAAGCATTTATAAGATCCCCTCACAGCCTTCTCTTCTTCAGGCTAAATAAGCCCAGCTCCCTCAGCCTTTCCTTGTAGGAGAGATGCTCCATTCCACTCATCATCCTCGCAGCCCTCCGCTGGAATCTCTCCAGTAGTTCGCCATTGTTCTTGAACTGCGGAGCGCAGAATTGGACGCAATACTCCAGATGGGGCCTCACTAGGGCAGAGTAGAGGGGAAGGAGAACCTCCCTTGACCTGCTGGCCACACTCCTCTTGATGCAGCCCAGGATCCCATCGGCCTTCTTGGCTGCAATGGCACACTGCTGGCTCATGGTTAACTTGCCATCCACCAGCACTCCCAGGTCCCTCTCCACAGAGCTGCTTCCCAACAGGTCAGCCCCAGCCTGTACTGGTGCATGGGGTTATTCCTCCCCAGGTGCAGGACCCTGCACTTGCCCTTGTTGAACTTCACAAGGTTCCTCTCTGCCCAACTCTCCAGCCTGTCCAGGTCTCACTGAATGGCAGCACAGCCTGCTAGTGGATCCACCACTCCTTCCAGGTTGGTGAAAGCCTTGCTGAAATCGAGGTAGACAACATCCACTGCTCTTCCCTCATCTACCCAGCTGGTCATGCCATCGTAGAAGGCTATCAAATTGGTCAACTATGATTTCCCCTTGGTGAATCCATATTGACTACTCCTAATAACCACCTTTTCCTCCACTTGCTTAGAGATGACATCCAGAATGAGCTGCTCCACCACCTTTCCAGGGACGGAGGTGAGGCTGACCGGCCTATAGTTTCTTGGATCCTCCTTCTTGCCCTTTCTGAAGACTGGAGTGACACTGGCTTTCCACCAGTTCACAGGCACTTCTGTTTTCCAGGACCTTTCAGAAGACTGAGAGTGGCTCAACAATGACATCTGCCAGCTCCCTCAGCACTCATGAGTGCAACCCATTGGGGCCCACGGATTTCTGGGTGTCCAGTTGGCTTAAGTGATCTCTAACCCAACCCTCCTTGACCCACGGAAGGTCTTCCTTTCTCGAGGCTTTCTCTCTTATCTCCAGCGACTGGGATGCCTGAGGGCCAGCCTTAGCGGTAAAGACTGAAGCAAAGAAGGCATTCAGTAATCTCTAGTTCTTCCTGTTTATTCCCCATGCTGTGTGCATTGGTGTAGAGGCATTTCAGAGAGGTAATCGAGCATACAGGTTTCCCTGGATGGGTGCAAGAGGATCTGCCATAGCCATACCCACCCCCTTAAGGTGGCTGGCCTTCTGGTTCCCAACTTGGGAGGCAGCTAAGGAACATATGTCACTGCTCTGGCTGGCCTGGCTTACTCCCCAGTTGGATGCGATGGCTTGAGCACTGTGACTTTTGACCCCGCCACCCCAAGTCCTTCAGTTCAAAGCCCACCACACCAAGCTAGCCAGCCTGCTGCTGAAGACTCCCTTTCCTCTTCTAGACAGGTAGATCCCATCCCTTCCTAACAGGTTATAGTCTTTGAAGAACGTCCCATTGTTGTATAAGCCAGACCATGGCTTCTACATTTCAGTGAGGGTTTGGCTGATGGGTCCTGGAAAGCCTCTTCATCTGTCTGCCTCACAGCCCTCCCACTTCACAGAATTTGTGCTGATGTTAACTACAGCAGTGACTGCCCTCATGCAAAGAAAGAGTATTTCTGATAGAATTAAACCTCACCCAAGTGAAAATAAAACTCAGTGTGATATTTGCAGTAAAAACAAATAAATAACATGTTCATCAGCACCTCAGCGGCAAGCAGTTAGGTCTTTCACTAACCACCACTTCAGTGAAAGTGAGGCACAAACCAGTGCCTATACAAATATTAACTATCACATCTGAATACAGACACTTCACTGCGAGTCTCCTCCAAGGGCGTACATACTCTTTTTTACTGCTACAAAATTGATGCATAGATACCTCTACTACTTGGCCAACCTGAACTTTGAAGAGAGATTTGCAGTACAAAAATCTTACTTACAAAGCACGTTAAACCAGTTTCTGTGCTTAACATTATGGTCTCCTTCCTTATGAATGGCAATGCAAATAGGGTTTTCTAAATAACAAAATACACATACACACTTTAACACACCTAAAATTACTTAATGGTTCTTAACTATTTTGTGCCAGCATACTAGGGTGGAATTTACCATACCAAAACACATGATAATGCCCCAAGAAAGTTCAGAGTCATGAATAAAACTTCTGGAACAATTAACCAACAAGAAGTATATGCTGCAGGCATAACTCCCACTCCGACTGGACAAGAACAAGCAGCCAAAAAAATGCTCCATCAGTTTAGGGAGCCTGACCATAAACTGGATAAACTTTCTGGGAAAACACCGCTTAGAAATGTCCGATTCCATTTACAGCTGTAGAAGTATGAGATAACTCTGCTTGCTTCTACAGAATAAGAAACTAATCATCAATAATAGCATTGCTTAAGCCCAAATGACAGTAATCTTTATTTCAGATCTTGACTGAGCAAGTATAGAAACACATACCCCATGCTGGGGCTAGGCACACAGGACCTCTCTCCTCTCCTTTCCCCCCCAGATAAATAAATTATGGAAGCTGTGTGATGCTGTCAGTGCAAGTCAGTCACTTCCCCTTTGACCTGTACCTACGTCCCACTTCCAGGTGTGTCAGCACCTCCCACATCACCTTTGTGTGTTTCCCAAGCAACATACTGAGCCAGGGCAATAACCACAGGAGCTGTACTAAGAACTCCTACTTTATGCAGCTGCTGCTCACTTTTAGAGAATGATCACAGCCACAGAAGCTTTAGCTCTGGCTTCACTGCCCTGATAGAGTTGTAGCTGCAACTGTTAGGTGCTAAGCCCTACTGTTCTCCAGGGGCCTGCATCACACTTCAGCTGCCAGCTCTGCAGCAAGCATGAGTGCTACAACCAACCAAATCCATGTCTGAACCGCAGCAGCCCTCACTTCAGGCAAGATTGGAAGAACGAGCAACATTTCAATTTGCCATACAGTTTATTTCCAAAGACAGATCTGGTTCAGTCTTGGCAAATGTGGTTAGGCTACCTTCATGTAGCAGTTGTCCTCCTGGGCAAGCACTTGTACGAGTTCCATTTTTTTCTCATTCTTCCTGTTATTTTCCCTCAGTAGTGCTACTGGTCTTTTTTTAACTGTGGGTGCCAGTCTGGAACCCTCGCTGTGAATGGTGTAAGAATCACGACAGGAGTTATCCACAAAAAGAGGAGGTGACAACTTCTCCGAGACCAGGAGCTCCAGGGGCTCTGCAGTTTTTGTTTCTAAGTTTAGCCCAATGCTGTCCAGTGATTCTTCTGGTAAGCTAGCTGCTGAGCCACACCTCCTGCCTACCGCATGCTTTATCACCTCTTTATTTTCCCCTGCATTTCCAAGTTTCCTCACATGGTTGTGCGTGTGGCTGTGAAAGTCAGTATTTAGTCTGTTATTGCTGCTCTCTTGCATTCCTTTACCAGTATCGTTAAAGCTGTTAGGATTTGTCCCCCTTACAGTTGTTTCTCTGCTGTTAAAATCTTGAGAGTTCAGCTCTAACAAATGCAACAGCTGTTTGTCTCTGCCACTATTTTCATCTTTGCTATCACTAGACAGCTCATTAGAGTTGATGATCCAAAGGCTGTCATCACTGGTCTGTGTGACATTCTCACTAGAGGCTAAACCCGGGACAACGCTGCAGTCAAAACCCTGTACAATCAAACATACATGGTCACCCGTCCTCTGGTCAGGTTCACAGATTATGGTATCTGGAGGTGTTTGTCTCAGGTTGTTGTACAAAAGATGAGTTAAGGTTTCATATGGTGACCCAGAGATAACATCACTGTCACAGTATGTACCATTACATTTAACTGCATTATCAGAAGGTTGATAACCAGATGGCTGAGGTCGACTGGGGCAAGAAATTATACTGGCTTTCTTTTGAACATTTTGGTACGTTACTTGCTTATGTATTTCTTCCTCTGGTAGGAAAGCTGAACCACTGTCATTTGCATGCACGGAGAAAGATGGAAAATCAGTACGTTCAGAACAGGTGTTCTGAAAATCAAGTTCAGTGTAGGGAGATCTGTAGTTGGTATAACATGTCTCATTGGAAGGGGGTTGATAAATTTGATCTCTGCAATGAAGTTCTGGTGTTTCTGAAAACTGTGTCAAAGGTAGTGATGAGCACCCATTTTCAAAACACAGAGTCAGGCTACTGTCAGCCATAGACTGAGATGTAAGGGTGTCACAGCTCCTGTAGGCACATCCACAGGGCTCCATGGATGGAGACGTAAGGGTGTCACAGCTCCTGTAGGCAGATCCACAGGGCTCCACGGATGGAGACGTAAGGGTGTCATAGCTCCTGTAGGCAGAATCACAGGGTTCCACGGATGGAGAGATAAGTGTGTCAAACCTCTTATACGCAGAGCTACACAGTCCCATGGAGGGAGACACTAGGGTATCAAAACTCTTGTATGCAGTGTTGCTTATTCTGTCTTTTTTGGTCCCAAAGGATGGTTTATTTGGAGATTCCTGGATCAGGACATCTGAGTCATGCTGACTTTCAGAACTGCATGGAAAAAGGCTTTGATGAACCACATGTAGAAGATCGCTTGCATCCAGAGAAGCAGAATTTATGCTGGAGCTCCGATAGCCAGATTCAAAGGATTCTTCTGATTGTTCTGAGTTCTTGCTGGCTGTACTACAATTGTAGTCATCTTGAGAGGTTTTGGTGAAAAGGGAGACTGTATGAGAAATATCACATGGCTGCTGACTCTGGGCTGTGCTTTCTTTTGGATTTCGCTGTAATGGATTTTCCGATTCAAGTTTCTCAAAGGTTTTATTCTCACCTGTGATGATGTCTGGGTCTTTATTATCTTGCATGTTGTTTTCATCTGCCAGGATCTCCATAAACATGCTAGCTAGTGCATCATTACGTTCAGTGTGCTCTCTGAGAGCACTGACACTGCTTTCACAAGGCTCAAACATGGTGATCTGGTCACTAGTCTCTTCCTGGCTCTCAGCCTCAATGCCTGTTACACATGCACAGATTTCTATAGACTCTTCAACCAGAACTGTCTCAGGGGTTAAAACTGCACTGCTGCCTTTTGGAAACCACTCTCCAGACTTGCTGTGACAACTGCAAGATTTCTCAACATTTCTGATGTTATCTTTTCCCTTGAAGTTTTGGCTTGACAAATGTTGAACCAGACAATTCTTACAACTTCTGTTTTTGGAAGTCAAAAGGAAAGGACAGTTAATGTTTATCTAATAGGAAACTACTTTCTGCTATAAAGCAGAAGGGTTTTTTTTTTTCCTTTATCTTACTTACATTTGGTTTTCCATATGACTCTGCTTTAAGTCATGGAAAGGGAACTTGATTTCATCAATGTAGCACAAAACTGAAAACTAAGAAAGATACAAATGAGATCTAGGACACGTGAATTGTATTTAGTATCCCCTGCACTAGCAGACAATAGCACTTATTTTACATATTCTACTTCTGGGGTCCAGGAAAAGGTATTTTTTGCAACGACTTTAAATTACCTTAACATTTTTTACAACCAAATGGCTCTTTGCTGGATTTGGGATTTGATCCCACCATTCTTTCTTCACTCTGCAAGGGAAGAATTACAATTGTTTATTTTAACTGCATTTTGGCTTCATCAGTGTACACTTCCCTCTCTCTCAGACGTCTGCATTGCAGCAACAGGAAGTGCTTGTTCTGTGCATCTCCAAGTGTTGCCTTTCATTAAACTTGTGTTTAATGCCTGTATGTTTGGTGTGTGACTGCTCTGCACAGCCACAGTCACATGTTCTTCTAATCATGTTTAAAATGATGTATGAAACAGATATGATCCCACTTTCACATTACCACTAGAAAATTTAAGAAATATGGGTATTTAACCATCATTACTGGAACTCCGGCAAAGACTAGGGTCCAAAACTGACAAACCCCATAACTGCAGCTGTTTTGAATGCTATAACAAGCCCATTTTAGTAAGGTTATTAGAGAATATGCAGTTATCTATTCAGAAAATGACAGAGTGCAACTGATCTGTGTTTATAAAATGTTTGCTCATAGAGAGGAGACAAACATGCTGAGGAAAAATAAAACCATCAGATTCCCATGCTACCAGACATTCAGCTAATCAACTGCAATAGTGGTATCTGTGCAAGCTGCTACCCTATAAACCCCGTGAACGGTATGATACATACTTGGTAACACAGAAGTAACAAATTACAGATACTGCCATGATCAGTATGCAGGATACAGGAACAGCCATCTGCAGAATGTCTTCAGCTGTTACTCGATAATCTGTTAAATAAACATACAAATTTACATGTGTATGTGTATATAAATACAAGTACTGATGATACCCAATTCATTGCTCTTTTGCACCTTAAAAAACAAAAAAGCTTCTTTACAGGACATAAAATAAAGCCTTCAGCAGATAAACAACAGAGCGTACATAGCTACCAGTGGCAATGGTGTGTGGCATGCCTGAAAGGTCAATGGAGGTACTGCAGTCAGCAGCATTAGGACCTGAGAGAGCCAACAAGTACTGTGAGGCCATCTGTCAGCTCTCGAGGACAAGCCTGTCACACAGTCCCTACAATGGCATTATCACCTCCACTGCAGTGCAGCTATGCTTCCTGTCCCCGCTGTTGCTCTTCAGAGATTTTTATAAACCCTTGGCCCTCTGACAGTTAAAGTATTACTTAATTTGCAGCCTAAATATCTCTTGTTCATTTATACACACTTGCACTTACAGCAGTGTTCTTCAGTTTAAATATCTCTTTTCTCTCCCTGGTGTCTACTTCATGAAATATTTACAGAGAATAAACACATCCCCTTTCAGCCTTTTTTTCACAAGGCTACACAATCCAACTTTCCTTGGACTTCTCTTCCTTAGTTTCCTGAGGAGTTGCCTTTTTATGTTTAGTCTCTTTGGAAGCCTTTATAGATGTATCCACAATACATTCAAAAGGATTAAGATGATGATTCCACAACTCTCCTCTAAGAGGAGAGAGTGAGAGTATATATGATATGGTTTACAAAACTATACCATCCTTTTACCAAGCTGCTATTTGTTACAATACTTACCATAGTGAAATTCAACTTCTTCACTCCATTCACTCCAGTAGGCTGGGTAGTTTGTATAGTTACACCTTACAATTGCAACGTAATCATAGCCTTTCCTCAAGGAGCTTGCAGTAATTTCAAAGCTTTTTGCCTGGTAGTTAATTGCTTTTACAGAAACCTGAAAAGAAAGCGAGAAAGTTCACTTTGATTTCTTTATGAGGTGAAGGGTTAGTGACAGCAATTAAATAACAATAGTGCTCTGTGTTTCAGCGACCTTTTACAAATAAGCAAATTAATGACTGTATACCTGATCTGCTGTGCGTGATACTGCATTTTGTTGTCATGAGCAGGTGGCATTTGTGACATGCCACCGTCCATGTTCTTCCCCTACCAGAAGCAGCCCAGCCCTGAAGTGCTGGATTGCTCAGGAGGGTGTCTGAAATGCCTCAAGTACACCCCAGAGTCATGACCAGCCTCCAGCTTCCTGATGTCTTAAGGAGCAAATGAAGTTCAGGGAACAGAAACATTGTATTTTCAATCTCTGTCCCATCTCCTGTGAGCAGCAGACCATTTTGGAGTGGCAGTCAGAAGAGCTTCAGTCCTTTAAGGCCCAGCTGAACCACCCTGGGGTAACGCGACCTGTGGGAAGTGCATGTTCAGGAACACTGTGGGACTTGCCCTTGCTGGCCCTTACACCATTATCCATGAAACGGTTTCAAGACTTTTCAGAGGAATTTTTAAACCTCAAAGCTCCAGAGAGCCAGAAAATGAAGAGACTGGCTGTCTCTTACCTCTGTCGGGTGCTGCTTCCTCCAGTATTTCACTTCATAGATGACTGGCTGTCCAGAGAGCATGGATAAAGGAGAGTAGCTCTCCTCCCAGCTCAGGTTGAAATTACCATTTTCAACTTTCTCAATGGCAAGATTTTTGGGGGCCCTTGGCTTAACTGTATGTTAAAAAAATATAATTAAGGAGAACATGGCAATGGAAAAGCACTGATGGAGAGAAGCAGAGAGACAAACATTCACCAGAGAACAGAATCTCATCGCAGTCAATGCATTTAGCCCTTTTCACTAACCTGCAGCACAAAGATATAGAGGCCAAAATAGAGCAACTGCAAGGTATTCATTAACAAGCACTGAATCTTCAAGCTGGCTGAACAAATTGCAAGTTCAACCTTTTGGTGCACTGGATGCAGCTTTCAGCCTGGAAAAATGGGAACCACCTGCGCTCTCACAATGGCATGTTATGCCACGGGGTAGGCACAGAGCTTCTGACAACTTCACTTCCAGGCTGTCCTGGCTATCTGTCGCTTAGAAACTGATGCAGGCTCCTGCTTATTCTGCTGATAAGCAGCAGTGACAATCAAGTATCCTGACAAGAACCAGCTCATCGATGCAGACGAATGCCTGCCTAAAGTATGTGAAAGATTTCTCTGAGTGTTTGAGGGGACAAGTGTCATGAAAGAGCACACCGTTCTAAACAAACTAGGTGTCTATAGAGACACATAAACTGCATCTACACTCTGTCCTGTGAAAAGAGCAGAGCTGCTAACTTTTTATCACTGGTTGTTATAATCCAGCATCAATTACTGTAAAAATCTCCATTCTGGGGGATGATTCAACCAGCACGAAATGACAAAGACAGGAGTGGGAAAAATTTCAGTAGGGACAGCCTAGTGCCTTTTTAGAAACCGGAAGTAGTACATTCCTCTTCATCCCTGAATTCTACAGCCACAAGTAAAATGCACTTAAGACAGGTTTAAGCCCCCAAACTGCTGCTGGCTGGCACCTGAGAGTGTACAGCTGGAGGCAGAAACACTAGCCAGCACGGCACTTTTCATCTTTGACAAGGAAAAACTGTTGCAGTGTCATGAATGAGGAGTTAGCTAGGATTACAAAGCCTGGAAGCAGATGTCTTGGTGACAAAGAAAACAGTTTCTTACCAACCAGGGCTGGTGTAACACTGTAATTCCACATATCAGTCCCATTGAACTGTAGAGCTAGAATATACGAGAGGCCTAATACAAAATAATCCGGATATATTGTGCAAGTGCACTTTAAACTGTCTTTTCCATTCTCAGGGACACACACACTATTTCTGAAAAACAGGCAGAAAATTGTGTGATGTTCAGAAAGTGCGGCACACTAGTTATTGAAAATATGAAATCAAGCTTCCCTGATGTGTAGAGCTCATCAAATCTGAGACAAATGAGCTCAGTTCCTAGAAACACTTAGCCCAAACAAATCCAAACCAAAACTGAGCTCCCCCAATCTCCAAAAGAACCCACCCTCCCAAAATCCTCTTTGGGTATCTGTATTGCACAAATGAAAAAACTTGACAGAAAGGCTAAGTATTGATCCCAAGAGGAAAAATTAACACCCTTTGTCACACTTCAACATCTGAAGGAGCGGACTGACAGCTTGCTATATAGGAACAGGTTTACTACAGTGTACAAAGTAGGTTATTTGGATGTCTGTGTGGAGAAATCATACGGAGAGGAACAGGAAAGCCCAGACGCATCTTCCTTTGTAGGAGATGACAGCTGGCCCTGCTGCAGGACACGGACAACACTCTGTGCTTGAACATGGAGTTAGACTGTATGCAGAGATAACCCCTAGCTCCAGGGCAGAGTACTTTTCACACAGGCGACAGACTGGTAAATCAGGTAAGATTTCTCCTGAAGGAGGTAAAATTTTGCATGAAATGAAGGTTGGGCAAACTTATGAGAGCCCTACCACTCCTACAAGTAGAACTTGATCACTCGTCTGTGCTAAAAGTGCAGAGAGGTCTGCAGAAAGTTAGACCACTGAACAGAGCATGCTGTTAATTGCAGCAATCCATTTTCCACCTGACAAGAATAATCTGGATTACATTTTGTCCCAGACATCCATGGCAGAGGGAGGGAATCAAAGCGATAATGGCCATAGGATATATGAAGTTCTAACAATGATAATGTCATAAATTCTTCAACACTTACGGCACACAAAAAAAATCCTTCCTGTAGTAGAGCAGGAATTCTTTGGAGCAATTTGTTCGTGGAAGCACCTTCCAGTCACAAACCAGCTCTTTGTCATAGTCAGTGAAGCATGCAAATTCCTGTACACGTCCTGCAGCCATAACTATGGAGAAGCAGCACACCATGAGAAGCAAGAGAATAAAAAGAATAAATTGGACTAATCAGAAACATTAACTTTTCCATCTAAACAGAGCTACCAACCCCCTATAAATTAAGTGAAAGCCTTGTTCTTTTTCACGTTCTGGGTAAATGGAAAGAGATGCATGTCACCTAATGTCTCCACCTTTCTGGAGACAACGTCTACGGTCCTGGAGAGGAAGAAGGGCTGCAGTAGTAATATTGAAATAGAAAGGCACAACTCATCCAACACAGTCTTCCAAGCACAGAAAATCTGATCCTGATAGCTCTATTTAATGCACATCAACGTTTAATTCTAGAACAGCATCATCCCATGTGTTAAATACAAAAGGTTCAAAAGCTAAAATGCAGATAATTAACAGAGTCAGATCAAGATCACTGCCTACAGGCACGTACTCCTGCTTTATCTACAATGGTTCTAAGATTCCCAAATGCATGCCCTCTGTCTCCCCAGAGCAGTTCTCCATAGCCTAGAAGCTCTTCCTGTCACAGGCTTTCTTCTAGTATGCACATTTTCTTAATTTCACTGAGTATTTCCTGTTCCATCTTCTGCTTTTCATTGTTATAATAGTGTTGAGAGACCTGAAGAGATTTAGTGTCACATTGTTCCAGGCACTGAGAGGGTACACAAAAGCCCAAAGTCTCTGCACTCCCAATGTTCATGTTCACAATCTCTTCCACTAGTAGTATTTAGGAAAAAAAAAAAGAAAACATTAGTCAAAATAGCTTTGTTAGAACTGAAAAGGGAAATGGAATACACAATCCTCAGTATCCCATACAGCCTTATTTTCCATTATGTCAATACACTCCACATTAGTGGAACAAGGAACAGAAGAGAAGGAGCTATGTGACAGTAAGGTCATGCTGTTATTAGGACTAACAGTGTGCCAAACATAGCACTGGAATGTGATAATTTCCAAGTGATGCACTAAGAAATAGCTTATACTTTTATCATCCCAGACAATTCTTTGCCTTCTTTGATGTCTGACGTCTCTGTTACTGGCAATATTAACAATTTCTCCCTTTTCTTGCACAGGTTGTACAGATCTAAATTCTTCTCTCCTGCTCTACATCTCAATTCCCGATGAAAATTTAGAACAGCTTTGGCAGGTTTTTAGAATCCTATTAATTGATATTTTTCCCTGATAGTTTCCTAAGAGGTTCTGCTAGAATGTTTCCTGCGGCAATTATACAGCGGCCATATAAAAACATGATTTCATTTCTCTACAGTATGTAAATAATTTTGTTTACATGGCCCAGCACATTACTAACTCTCCATCTTCATAATTTCCCTTGCAAATTCAAGATTAAGTTGCCAACAATTCACATCCTGTAAGGTCTTTGTCCTTCAGCCACTGCTGCTTCACAGGCTTACTCTTTCCAGCGGGTACCTAAGTTTCAGGTTATTTCTCCCAAGCAAAAACTCCAGTTGTCAAAAACACCTAATTTAATTTTATCCTTCCTACATTTCTACTTCTCTGCAGTCCACTTGGGTTATTTATTGACACAACTTCTGCATACTCTGATACAGTTCAGTATCTGCAAATGTAATAAACAAGACAGTCAGATGCCTTTTAGTGGACAAGATACTTGACCTACAATGGGCTCTACCACCAGACCCTCTGGTACTTCAATAAAAACCCGACTCAAACAAATACTTAACTGTTCAGTACTGTCAGTGTATGGTCTTTCATCCTCGTTAAAATCCACACATCACTTTCACTTGCCTAAAAGGCCTCCCACAAAACTTGACTACCAAGCAGTCCTGGATCACTGGAGTAAGCTCAATAACCTCAGTGAGGTTCACTTACGCAAATGAGGATATACAGCAATGTCAAGGAACCATTTAAAAATTCTACAAAAACCATAATCTGAATTGTCTAGCATATTGACTGGTTATAAACCTAGAATTGACTGCAGCTCATGGTTTCAATAGTGTTTAAATATTTAGAAAATGTTTTAGTTTGTTTTAGTTACTAAGGCTAGATATTTATCTTGTAGATAAGAACTATCACTCTTACATCCTTTCTGGATGGCAGCACCACATTTAGTTCCCTTTTGTTCTGCATGGTCCCTGATTGTTCAGAAAAACCCAAGAATTACCAGAAGAGCAGCAAGTTAAACTTCTGCAATTCTGTAACAGTCACACTGCTCATTTATTTTAAAAGAACAATTATCTATTTATCCTGTTGCTACTGATTATATTTGGTTGCCATTTGTATTTTTATTGTTAGTTTCTTTTTTTCCACTTTAAGATAGACTTTTAGAAGAAGTACTAACATTTTAAGCCCTTTAAAGATGAACATCGTTATTTTTTCCACTGTGTTAATCATCTTACACTTTCAAGAATACTTTAATTAAATAAAGCTCTTCCTGCTATGTTAAGCTATGATGATTAGCAGCTTTACTTTGTCTTGCCCTTCAACGCCCTCATGTCTTTCCAGAACTCTAAATTATCTTCTGTATTCTTCTCCTGTGACCTTCTCCCTTTTTCATCTCTGGTACAGCATATTTTTTTTTAAAGCCTCAGATATTTGAGAATTTCCTTTTGAAAGCACTTACAGT